TCTTGATGCGTGAGTCGTACTTATATTAACACATAATACAACATGCTAAAAAACAAACACCAAAAAAATTGTTTTGATCTAAATGTAGTTTATCAGTTATTACCATAAAGTCAAGCTAAATGTTTACTGTGGTTTTTTCCAAGTAAACAAGACAGCAAAAATAAAGATAGCCTTTGGATAGTCCTGTTGTCTACACTTCAAATATAGGCGATCAGAATGTATATAGCTCTACATTTAGAGCTATATACATTTTATATGTGCTTCTACATATGAAATAGCTTATAAAACATATCATAACAGCATGAACAAATAAAGATATGTACTTAAGTGGCTCTTGTGCACTGTGTGTGCACCATTACTTTACAATATGTTATTTACCCCTTGATGAATGATGACGCCTTTTCCCCAGGTAGTCTCATCCTGTGTTTAAGCAAAGAGACATTTTTCATGTGTCTTCATCTGCCCGAAATAAACAGTGGGTCGGCAATTGTATTATTATGAACTGAAAATTTAATTAGTAGATATCAATCCAACAAACATCGTTGGATCATGATCTCTACCGGGCCCCAAAACCATGTAATTTCAACCAGTTGACCGATGGATTCACACACAGGACCTTCTCTCTGTGATGCAACATTGCTGGACATTGAACCACCAAGTTTAAATCTCTTTAAATTAACCATATTTATCTGCTCTTCTTAAACCTTTAGTCAGTTTATTTTACAATATAAACCAGAGGAGCATGAATTGAGTGTTACCTAGTTATTTTAACGCATGTGCAGTTTTCTTTGTCTTTGCTCATGAACTGACCATATTGATATGCTGTGTCTATTGCACTGGTGATCATTTAGTTTTGTTTGACATTAAATAAAACAAATGATGTATGATATTAGCATATTCCTGCTCGATGAAACTCCAGAAAATCAAAGTTCATGTATACAGTAAAAAACAGCCTTTGGTCGTACAGGGATAGGTACAGTGTGACTGATGAGCCAGACAACATAATCAACCTGGCAGGTGGCAATTTCTCTTTTATGTCAGATTCATTAGGCTTGTCAGACAGGGACACTGTGGCCGGGGAGCCAAGACACTAAATCAGCCACACTGCCACCAAGATCAGCCACGCAGAGGAAAATGAATTTAGGACTTCCACTTCCACGTTAAAACCTTCAGTTACTGCTGATATTTATTGATCTGCTGACTGGGTCATTGTGCTTTTAGCACAATAGCTTTGCTCCCAGGTACATGACCTATAGGAACTCATGAAAAATAGAGCTGGTTTATATAGACCAGAATATATTTAATAATAATGTATGCCTAAATGGAATTAGCTGTGATTAAATAAGAGGGTATTTGCTATTAGTCATAGTGATTGATAGTAATACATTATTGTGTTCAAGACTCGATGGGGCTCTAAGCACTGATGTGTAACACTCCACAGAGGCTAGCCTCATAACTCTTAATACTGAGAGGCACTAATATGGAGATACGCACATACACACATGAATTATGCATAATAATATTTTCTCTTTTACATAAGTTGTCTGTGTGTCCGTTTGTTAAGCTAAAATGAAATATAATTTAGCATTTTTATATACTGCTATTTGCTAATTGTGCTAAAACAAAAGCAATTGCAAAGTGACAGACTTGCTCACTTGTATTTTACATTAATTTCTCTTTCAAAAAAACATCCAAATCATCAGTGACACTGACATCGAGTGTGTGATAAAACGGAAAACAAACTCACACAAAAATTGTAATTTCCCTGACTCAGGTGCTCTACCAAGAACTGCTTCCTGTTCTGTCTGCAGGATGTGAGAATGGGGCCAGGGCAGCATGCCAGGTCTAATTTTTGTGGAGGCCAGGGCCATGCATTGCAGACTGGTTTCCATGTCAGTGTTGAGTGAATTAGAAGTGCTCTCAACTTTATTAAACCACAGCAGCTCTTACTGTAAAGGCAATGAGAGCTCAATCAGGTTATTCATCCAGTTAATTCAGACACAGGCAGGGGCGGACACAGAAACAAGCTTAGTCATGGCTGATTAGACACAAGTATAGATGTTCTGACAGCTCTCTTATCTGGAGAGGAAACACACTAATGTTAAGATGCTAGAGGTGGCTGTGGTGATTATGATGACAGGGATTTAACTATTGATCTTTATACATCTGCGCAAATGGGTGTTTGTTTAAGCGTGTAAAATTATGGAAGAAGAACAAAGAAGTGTCTAGTTCAAAAATCCATTAGAGTGTGAAACAGTTCCTCCCATGCTGGGAGACGAAAGCGATGCTTTTAGCTCTTTGTGTTGTGCACATTCCACATTTCTTGATACGTACGTGTTAATTTCCAAGATTTCTTCCCCTGCAGTTCAGTGACAGAAATAATTAGATCAACTGATGAAAAGATATTTAAATAATAGGCAAAAATCTAAAATGTATTGCCTGCAACCACACTCTATTAAATAATTTAGTAGCCAGTGTCACCACTGGCATTTTAGCTTCTGCACTGTACTCCGAAGAACAGCAGTGTCTGTCTCTGTTAGAGGTGCTCAGATTTTCTTTTGGATGCTGTGATGATGCACTCATTACTAATGAGGGAGGTTTTGGTTTTCATTATATAGGGTGATCCAGAAATTTGCCTCCTGGTTACAGACTCTCATTGATCCATTCATCATGCCACCTGCTAGAAAGCAAAGTGTATTTCTTTACCATAAAAAGGTCACACAGAGAACATCAACAGGACACTTTATCACATAAACCTTTAACCCAGGAACAACTATTAGCAAGATGAAGTCATTTTTCCAGAGCAGATGGAACACCTGCTGCCACGGGGCTTTGTGCGGCTCTGTTTTGTTGATCTAGAGTACAACTGTTCAAATAGCTCGCACTCAATGCAGGACAGGTGGTGGTCATCATCAATGAAAACTGGCCTAGAATATTTAAGTGAGCAGATGTTCTGAAAAGCAGAGCACTTGTATGATCTGATTAAAGATATAGACTGATGAAAGGTTGTATGTTTATGTGTGGCACTTACTCTAGTACACACAAAATGGAGCGTATTTCTTCCTAATCTGCCATTTTTATCACATTTTTGAAACTGGCTGAATGTGATTGAATTCATGTATAGGTATCATTGTTTCAAATTTAAGGTATTAAGGTCTGGCTGGCTTGTCTGGACACTCATATTCCATACAGGCACGCACACACACTCATGAACCCGCACATACACACACATTGATTGACAAAGCAGAGCCAGGTGATCAAAGCTTAGTGCACTAACGAAACCAGATTTGCTGTTTTTCAGTCTGCTCATCGTCCTCATTCTTTTCTCCTAATGTGTTCATCTTCTTCTGTCTTCTGTACACACACACACACGCACACGCACGCACACACACACACACACACACACAAGTATTGAGCAGTATTACGCTCAATTTAAATTTTCTTATTTCTTATTGATTGCTTCTATGAGATGACGGAAATAAAATCTTGTTTCCACAAATATCAGGTTGTTTGTCCAGTGATTGTAACACATAGCTCACTTGTGCGTCACATTTTGTGACTGCGTCATTCATTTAAGTACATTTTCATTTAAAACATAAATGGCACTAGAATCAATGAGTTTTTATTGCAGTAATCTACAATAATTGAATACGATGTCATCATTTTATGTCTGAAGAGCAATAAAAACTTTTGTTAGAATGTGTGTGCAAATACAGAATAGAAGCAGAATTTCATCTACATGCCCAGGAGTAAGAACTCTACTGATCAGATGCTCTTAAACGTAAATTATTATACATGGTTATGACTGGAAATTTCTGAATTTTAATTTCAGAAGGGTTCTGCACGTCATTTATAACTGCAGGGCTTCATACCGGAACCATCAAGGAAAATCCCTTTTGTCAGAATTTAAGAGGTACCGCCCCACCCAGAGCTAACCACCATGCTCAAAGTGAATCACCTTTTAAGCTTTCTATACTGCTGCACATGTAATACACCCACTAAGTGCAGTGACAATAGCAGCCCCACTCTATCTGGTTAAACAGCTGAGTAATTGCAGTCATCATTTGAGTGGCTTATGTTATAGTTGAGGGCGCGCAGTGTGGGTCTGCTGAATGTAAGTGTGTTTGTTCAGTAACTTGAATTTGTTGTTTAAAGTAGATGAATGGTGAGTGTTAGTTCATTGCTGTTAAGAGAGACAGAGGTGGACTCGGCTACAATTGATGGCTTTAATAGCTCTCTTTTCAACAGCATCTCTAATCTGTTACTCACTCGACTCAGCTAATGCTTTGTTTAAACGTGGCAGGAAAACCTGCATTACAGCAGCACTAGGAATTTACATAGTTGCATTTGAATTATTCCGATAAATTCTACTTATACTGAAAGGAAAAAAAACATTCAGCCCCTATGATTGCCATGGCTTTGCATGTAATGTTTTTTAGCTTGTTTTGAAGTAATGCATCATATAATATGGCATTTATTTATGTGAAAACACAGGCTAATAAATTAAAAATAATTATGTAAAAAGACCCCAGTATTATTTTCACATGAGAGTAAAATGTCAGATTTCTGTCTGTATATAAACGTGTTAAAGATTTCATTCTGAATTTTAATGGAGTGATCGTTAAGTGTGGCGAAGATGTTGTAGTTGAAGTACATTGCCTCTGATTCTACAGTTATTTATCAGCAAACACAACAGAAGAGGTTTTGCCAAGGTTTAATATTGCTATCTCTCCCCCTTACAAACAAAATAAAATGTCATTAGGGCTGTCACTAATGAGCTTTGCTACTATAGCGACATGGCTTTGGGGAGAGGATTTCTAATTAGCTGTTTCCTCATTCAGGTACACCTCATTTGTGGACAAACTTGTAATACATTTCCCCTTTTGAACTAATATGTCTTGGCATGCATACTCCAAAATAAGCATTGTGTCAGATGAATAATAGTAGGCAATGGGCTGTGAAATGCTGTAAAAATAAATTATCCCTCTTGTGTCTTTCAGATTACTTTCTCTCTCACTATGTGGGGAAAAACTGACGTGGCATTCTACTGAGCCTGAAAACAGAGGCGTGGACAGCAAGACAAAATCAGATTTTCTTCATTTATTTGGATTAGGAATAATTCCTCTTCCAAAGTGCTCTGCACATCTTCTTGAAGAACTCATTCACAGAACTTAAGGAAAAACACTGGTCAAACAGTATCTTCCGCTACTCCCCATTGGCTTTCAATATGAGTGGTCTGGTAGGGAAGCTGGATCCTCGCAGGATACAGTGGGGGTCGACATGGAACACCTTTGCATCCCGTGTCCTCAGGACCAAGCCTGTGGAGTCCATGTTAGATTCAGCCATATCGGGTACAAGCTCACATGGAACCAGACTGGCCCGGGTTTTGTCTACGGTGGACCTAGTGTCGCTGGGTGTGGGCAGCTGCGTCGGGACGGGGATGTATGTGGTCTCTGGACTGGTCGCCAAGGAGATGGCTGGCCCTGGGGTCATTGTGTCCTTTATTATTGCTGCTGTTGCCTCCATTCTGTCAGGTGAGACTAGAGCTATGCACGCTCATTTATGCAAGGCTTCTCTAATCACATAAACACCAAGGGGACAATAGCCGCAGTATAAAGGTTACTGTCCTTCTTATTACCATTAAACCGGTAAGATATATTTGAAAAGCCTTTTAATACCTATGTAATTATTACAAGGGCAATGACATTATAGGGGCACAGCTATAATAGGTTCAAGAGATAGTAAAATATACTTTAATGCTCATATCAATAGTTTCAATTCAGCCTTTGACTCTAGTGATAATGCAGTCAAATTACTGATATGTGTCTGAATTTATGTGTGTCTATATTGTACTCCTCTTCCTGTCTCCCCCACAGGAGTATGCTACGCAGAGTTTGGTGTCCGTGTGCCTAAGACCACAGGTTCAGCCTACACATACAGCTATGTGACAGTGGGGGAGTGTGTGGCTTTTTTCATCGGTTGGAACTTAATTCTGGAATATCTGATTGGCACAGCAGCGGGGGCGTCAGCTCTCAGCAGCATGGCGGACTCACTGGCCAATCACACCATCAGCAACTTTATGATTTCACACATTGGAACACTCAACGGCTTAGGTAAGTAGCACAAAGATGCAGTGCTATGACAGCTTTGATACATTTTCTCTCTGGTTCTAATTTTCTCAGGATTGAAATTCATTCAAGTATTGTGTAAAGTACTGCAGGTTTGCTGTGAATGCTTTTTTTTCAGTGTTATATTTACAATATTTCAGGGAACTGAAGCCAAAGTGCTTCTTAGAAATCACCTGTGAGATAATTTTCTTGAAGGCACATTTTTAAAGGCATTAAGAAGCAGGGTAATTCATTTAGAATCGACATCTTATCAGCAATCAGCTACAGTTAGTTGTTTTGGTTCAGCTGTCAAACATGTTTGCTTTGATGGTAAAAACATGCATTGACCCAAGTGACTTTTGGAGAGATGTTATCTTTTTTCCCCCTCCCCACTCTCCTCAGAAGGTCAGACAGAGCTCTGTTCCTTTTGCTGTAGTTGTAGTTCAGACAAATACTTCCTCTTTGAGGTCTTGAACAGACTTTGACATTTAGACTTTGAGAAGTACATTTAATAAATCCAGCCTTTGCTCTTATTCTGTATTTGCACACTAACACGACTTGCTCCTAAGAGTCATGATTTACTTTATCAGTGTGGAATAGAAGCGCAGCGCCATTTCTATCATACAAAGGATCTCCCATTGCCTTGATAATCACAACACATCTTTCAAATTTTAATAAAAACACCAAGATAAAAATGCTTACATTATCTCAGAAACCATTCAAACCATACTAATTTATTTTTCCCAGGAACATCCAAAGAATATTATGCAGCTTATCTTGGAAGTCATACTGTCACGGAAAGTAAAAGCAGGCACATCATCTTGAATTCTATATAACACAGTTTTCCATAATCTTACCATGATGAGGATGCCTGCTTATCTTGTGCAATGCTCTAGCTGATGTGTGTGCCAGCTATGTTTCTATCTGGCTGACACTGCCTCATCAGTTGCTTCCTGTTAGCCTTTGAAAAAGTGATGGTAGTGATCACATGACAAGTGTCACGGCCAGCCGTTCCAAATGATCACGGAAAGCTGATGTTTCCTTTTCCTGTTGGAGAGAAATGATTGTTTCTCCACACCCAAGGGGAAAAAATGTGAAATCTAACTCAAATATATCTCATTCATTTCCAAATACACACAGGCTGAGTTCTTGTGGAACATGTGCATCTAAAAATTTGTTGCCGTAATGGTCAACTGGGTGGGGTGTATCTAATTTAGGAATGCAGTACTTCACTATGACGACTTATCTTACAAAAATAGTTGAGTTGATGTTCCAAATCTAAAGGTGTTTCCAACTTTCTGTTGCCAAGAAATTAAACAGAGTTGGAAAGTTCAATTTTTTATTAAACCATGGCTTTGGGTGTTTTATTGGACCATTGGGGAATGTCCTGTGAATTACACATGAATTCACTGGAATACCCTTGGATAATTATCTACACATACTCCAACATACTCTATGAGAGCGGCTGAAACTCTTGGAAACAACAAATTAGTCTGGGATTATTTATTCTGATTAATAGCTGTGGTCAAATGTTTACATAGAGTGATCATGGACATGATTTCATATCGTGGAAAGTTTGAGCATTTAATGATTACTTTGAACAGTTTCTGTCTATGTGGGTTCTCAGTAATCTCTTAGATGAGAGGTGAAACATCATTTAAAAAACAAAAACAAATGCAAGTCACCTTCCTTTTAGCTCTTTAGACTTTGAACTGTTCTTTCTCTTGGTAAGAATAATTGTACGTCAAACATCTTTCGTGACAGATTCCATGATCATCACTTCAAATAATTGTACATAAGTAAAGTTATTCAGATGGGCCACCACTTTGTCAAAGTCTGAAAAAAAGGTCCAAACTGTCACCCTCAGATGAGAGAAAATTGGTTAAGACATGTGGAGCAAGCCAGGAACCACTGAGGCCTTAACCACTTAAGCCTGCCATGAACTGGAAACTGCTGGAATACCAGGGTAACAGTTACATCGCCATGGACTGAAATGGTGATGACCTTGAAAAGACCCTTTTCCAAAGTTGACACCTTTAGGCTCAACTTAAATTTTCAGCTGCCCACATGGATAAGCTAAATTTCTTATAGAGAAAGGTTTGATGGTCAGGCGAGACAAAGATTGAACTATTTGGCCACAATGACAAGAGTTATGTTTGGAGGAGTAAAGATGAGGCTTTCAAACCTATGAACATGCTCTGCATCTCTGCCAGTATTGTATTGGTACAATGCACTAAATGGATGGAATGATACAGAAGGAAGAAGCTTCTTTATGCTTCCCCTCAAAATCCATCAACTTCACCTCAGATCAATAGCTAGATGACACAAATGGGTGTTCCAACAGATAGATCAAAACTGGTTTTGGAATGGATAAAGCAGGCTAATGTTAAGCTTCTGGAATGACCTTCCCAAAGCCCCAGTCTCAGCCCTTCTGAAAATGTGTGTGCTATGCTTAAAAGCCGGGCCGGTGCCAGGAAACCAATTCTGCCAAGAAGAGTAGTTAAATATCCAGCCAGAATTATGCCAGAGGCTTGTCGATTGATACTAAAAGTGTCGGGTTGAGGTGAAGAGTGGTACATTTGAAGTTGTATGTTTGACCCTGTGTGGATTACAGAAAATCCAAAATGAATTCAAAATGTTGAACCCGGTTCTTGATTTTAGATGTATGTTGTACAATTATTCGACCCTGGAAAAAGAAAAATTCAGAGAAATTATTAAAAGACCAAATTTGCATTGACATTTATCCCATTAATAATTGTACTTTATGTGTACTTCTGATAAAAAACTATATTTAGTTAAACTGATTTGACAGCGCTTTGGAACTAGCACCAATAATGTGAGGATTTTCTACTTTTCTTTTTAATTTGGGGTTAATCAGACAAAATAAGAAAACGAAAAACATTTCTCTGAGAAACCTGCTTAACTGTGAGAGGACTTGTTCTTGTTCTGACAATTTAGTATTTTCTTGAAAAAATAACAAAGTACTTACTCAAACAGTTTTATGCCAAACACACAGGAAAATGGATATATTCATCTTCAGCACCACAGGGTGACAGCACTTTTATGTCTTTCTGTGTATTCAAGCATGCGTGTTTCCTCTCCAGGTAAAGGAGAACAGTCCTACCCAGACCTACTGGCACTGCTGATAGCACTGCTGGTGACAGTGATAGTGGCTTTGGGAGTGAAGAACTCTGTTGGTTTCAACAACGCATTGAACGTCATCAACCTTATAGTGTGGGTGTTCATGATGATCGCTGGCCTGTTCTTTGTAAATGGGGAGAACTGGGACGAGGGGAGATTTCTGCCTTTCGGCTGGTCAGGGGTATGCATCCGAATGTATATATAAACACACACAATAAATAACAAACAAACAAACAGAAACCCCCCTACCATCAGCAGGGTATCTGTGCTGTTTGGTTGTTTTCTTTAGGACATCCATCAGCTCTGTTTCCTCTGTGTTGCAGGTGATGCAGGGTGCAGCCACCTGCTTCTATGCCTTTATTGGATTTGACATCATTGCTACAACAGGAGAAGAGGCCAAGAGTCCCAACACCTCCATCCCCTATGCTATCACCGCCTCACTCATCACCTGCCTCACTGCCTATGTCTCTGTGAGTTAGCTTTATAACATATTGCATAAACAAACATGACCACTCTATTCTTTATATATCTATTGTTAAGTAATTGACAAATCTATTGTTATTCACACTAATAGTTTTGTGTATAACAAAGTAGAGCGTCATTCATGTTATGGTGGTTTCTGTTGATATATTTTGTAAAATGACTTAATTTAATTATAAACCTAAAGAATATTGATCACTTATCATGTGCTGAAATTCAGCTTTAGCTTCAGCTGCCTGCTCTCCCACAAATGTTGACAAGTTTCCAATACACGGAATGAATAAATATGAAGATGCTGTGGGTGTGTATCTAATCTCTGATCTCCACCTTTACAGCCCGTACAGCTTTCCTGATTACATAATGTGTACTGGATGGTTGTTGCTATGGGTGCTGTGGAACAGCAGCCTATCAGATATAAGACGTTTTTCAGCATTTTGTGTGGCAAAGATTGCATCAACTTCAAAAACTCGAGTGCTTCTTTTTGAAATCCTTGTCTCTCTCTTTCACAGTCACATCTATTCCTCCACATCATCGCTCTCCTATGCACCAGCCTCTCTCTAATCTCCACCTTTCTTTGATCTCACTCACTGTAGGCTGCTTGGAATAACTTTTCTGCTGCTGTGAGGATCCCGTGGTTGCTGCTGTTCAATCTTCAGAAATCAGCTTAAACACATTACCTGTCACATCTTTGTGTGTGTGTGTGTGTGTGTGTGTGTGTGTGTGTGTGTGTGTGTGTGTGACATTGATTTTTGCAGTACATTTAAATCAAAGAGTTTGCAAGGCAAACTTATGCTTGTTTGTCAGTTTCTGAGCTTTTCATTCACTGTTAGTGATGACATATCTATCCTTGTACGTCCTTGCAATACTGTGGTCTTCAGTTTAGGTTGGGGCAATGAGCAGCAGGGGAGAGAATTGTGCTGATTATTTTTTCTGGGAAGTCCTTTGCTCTGGAGATGGGTAATATGAATTTGCCAACTAAACTTAGCCGACTGTGAGCTGAAGGGGACACTGAAAAATACATTTTGGGATTGGATTTGTGCTCTAAGCAAATATGTTGTTGTAGATTTGTTTTAGATTATTTTACCCCTTTATGACTGGTTCACACACAGTGTTAGCCAGCCTTTTCATACAGTAAATAATGGATGTTAACTTCCTTTCTGTAAGGGGTTAGTGCTTTTTATTATTATTACTCCCCTTCTGTAATCCGTTGATGCAAATCTATCTGATTAGCAGCACAGCATTTGTGACAGATGGCTCTGCATGATATCACACATCAGACACAGGGACACACATATTGAGTGAGGCACGAGTAATGACCACTTTGCATGTGATGGAGCATGCTCTGTGCTGAGCATATTAGCTAAGCAAAACTAAGCTCTAAGGATGTAGCTCAACTCTTTTTAGTATCTAGGGTCTAAATGTTGATGTGACTATAGGCTCTACAGAGTTACTCTGAGAAGAGCCTCCACAAGAAGTCGAATTAGTCTCTTTTCTGCAGCATCATCCCGCAGCATTAATACACTATAATTCTGGCAGCAAAAATCGAATATTTCTGCTTGTTAACACTGGTATTAAAGTTTCTCTGTACTTTAATAGATTCATGATGAGATTTTGATTTTATGGTGAGAACTGCAGTAAAGATTTCTTAGTAATAATCAACACTATGTTTGTTTTTTTTATTCCAGGTTTCTGTGATTCTGACACTGATGGTACCATACAATGAAATTGATGAGGATGCACCACTGATGGAGATGTTTGCCATGCATGGTTGTATGTTCGCAAAGTACATAGTGGCGGTAGGCTCTATAGCTGGACTGACTGTATCCCTCTTGGGTTCGCTGTTCCCCATGCCCAGGGTCATCTATGCCATGGCAGGAGATGGCCTGCTCTTTAAGTTAGTTCACACTGTATTTGCATTTTTATTTATATGTCATTCTTAATGATGTTTGCATATGAGTCTCATTTCATCTCTTTTTTATAGGTTCCTGGCCCATGTGTCTTCCTACACAGAGACCCCTGTTGTAGCCTGTGTGGTTTCAGGCTTTCTGGCTTCCTTGCTGTCCCTCCTGGTCAGCCTTAGAGACCTCATAGAGATGATGTCCATAGGAACGCTTTTGGCCTATACCCTGGTGAGTGTTGGATAATAATAATGGAAACATGTACATCATGAAGCTTACTCTCAATATTATTTAGATCAATTTTCTTTAAAGAAGTTTTTCCTTCCACATTGAGGGGCATCTGATTGTCTTTACCTTACAATATAAAGTGCCTTGAGGCAACTGTTGCTATTTGGTGCTATATAAATAAAATTGAATTGAACTGAATTGAACTGAATGCATTTAATATATCTGGATAAAGCCCTTGAGATGTATTTAAGGATGTCTAAACAAACATACTAGCAACAACTGCTAAGCAGAACAATACAAAGCCACAATCTCACTGTATTACACTGCCTTACAGAGATCAATTCACAGTATTTTGTAACCAGGGGGCATCCATAATCCAGCAACAATTGTTTTATAAGAACTAAGTGAAGATGCGTTGTTCAGCTTTCATCTCAAGTCTAAGAAATTTATAGCCTGAAAACAGAAAGATTGGTGTTTCTTCTCCTAAGTAGCTATACATTCAGATTTGACAAAAAAGCACTGCTCTTTAAAGGAGCTATGAAATACTGCACACAATAACAGATACCTTGCTCGGAAAAATAATCTCTCTAGTGCATGATTTCCTATGATAACAGGATAGCTGTATGTGTTCATAGACAACAAATCTTAACAGAGTCACCAGTATGTACAAGACATGTGGGCATGTGTTTATCAGGCTCTAAAGATTACCTTCTACCCATGGCTGCACAACACTAGTTAGATGGTAAGCAGTTAACTAAGATAATAATGAGTCACTGATTTATGAACCAGTCAGTTTTTGTAAAAACTAATTATTGAGCTGTTTGTTTTGAAATAAAACATCCACACAATTCCTGTGGAATGGGAATGTCACTACTAAAAATGGTTTTGTGATGGAGCTCCTGTTTATAAATGACATGTGTTTTGCAGGTGAGTCTCTGTGTGCTTCTCTTACGCTACCAACCTGAGGGAGACATCCATGGTTTCGTGAACTTTCTCTCTGAGGAGCAGAATAAAAAGAGGAAGGAAGGCGTTCTGGCTGAGTGTGAGAAAGACGCCTGCTCACCAACCAGCGAGGCCGATGAGTATGGTGGTCCGCCCACTAACACCTGCGGAGCCAAAAACCTGCCTTCACTGGGTGACAATGAGATGCTGATTGGCAAACCAGATAAAAATGCATACACGGCCAATCACCCTAACTATGGTACAGTGGATATGACTACTGGTATTGAAGCAGAAGAATCAGAAGGTGGCCTGTCCCGGCGGTTAAAGAAGCTGATTGGACCACGCTACTACACCTTGAGGATCCGACTGGGCCTACCGGGAAAAATGGATAGACCGACTCCAGCAACGGGGAAAACTGTCACTGTGTGTGTTCTGCTGCTCTTCATCTTCATTTTTGCTTTCTGCTCCTTCATAATTTTTGGTGAGAACAAGTTAACAAACTCACACTCACATTTGTATGATTCAGGCACAGATTGGTCAACAAATAATAAAAGCGTTGAACTGAATTGAATGAATTATTTCTTCCTTTCAGGAGCTAGCACTATTGGGGAGGGTCGTTGGTGGGCCTTGCTGCTATTGATCGTGTTCATCATTATCATTGCCCTACTAGTCATCATCATCCTGCAACAACCAGAGAATCCTAAGCGACTTCCCTACATGGCACCCTGTGTGCCCTTCGTACCTGCTTCAGCCATGCTGGTTAATATCTACCTCATGCTCAAACTGTCTGCAATCACCTGGATACGATTTTCAATCTGGTGCCTCGTGGGTAAGTAAATTATGTCTTATTTGTTTGCTTTTAAATTAACTTTAAAACATTCGGAAAGAGAAAAGATAATGCTTTTATTTAGTCAGTTCCACACCTGTCAGTCATGTAGAAGGACATGCAGGAACTTAATGAGACTTTTGTTTTAGTTTTGTCGTGTTTAATCACTATGCAGGTTGGTTGCTAAATTATTTCCATGTTGTATGCATGAAAATAATTCAATATAATTATAGAATGTAATGTATATATGTTTGGCAATGGTTTATATGAAAACTGGCTGCTTCCATCTCAATATAGCAGTGAAACAAAAAAGCCAACCAAAATATTGCACTGTAAGCAATGACTCATGACAGTTGATACTTAGTGTAACGACTGAGTAATTAAAAATAACTATTTTTTAATTGAAATTTTGTGACCAATAAAGAACAGACTGTGTGTGACTTCTTGTTTGTTTTATTGTGGAAGACCTGGGGCATCTAACTTTCCTTTTCCTTCCTGCCTCAGTTGTATCTATCTGAGCACCTATTTTTGACTTGCCTCTATAGCTGCAAGAGTGAAAGGGAAGGTTTACAAGAAGGTAGTGAGACCTGCTTTGATATGTGGTTTGTAAACAGTGGCACTGACAAAACTTCAGGAGCCTAAGATAAAGTGACAGGGATGAAGATGCTAAGATTTTCTTTGGGAGTGACCAGGATGGACAAGATTAACAATGAGGACATCAGAGGGACAGCTCATGTCGCAATAGCAAGGCTGAAATAGCTTGGGCATGTACACAGTACATGGTGGGTATACTGGACAAAGGATTTTGAAGATGAAGCTACCAGGCAAGAGGAAAGGAGAAAGACCAAAGACAAGATTCATGGATGTAGTGAAGGAGGACATGCTTGTTGTTACAGAAAATGATTCTAGGGACAAGGTGAGATGGAGGCAAATGATCTGCTGTGGCAACCCCCAAAGGGAACAGCTGAAAGGAAAAGGAGAGTCCAACAGAGCTTTTAGGTTGATGGAGATTTTCCTTTTTTTTCTGTATTTTTATTTAAGCAACTAAAATCATGCGCTAAGGTCTAATAAACATGATCGACTGGATTATGTATGTGTGAAAAATATTAACATGTTCTGTTCTTGTAGGTGTGCTCATATACTTTGGCTATGGCATGTGGAATAGTACTCTGGAAATCACAGCCAGAGAGAATGAGGTGCATGCTTCCACCTACCAGCGCTACGATCAAGGTGTTGACGAAGGCTTCTGCGGCTTCGAAGATGATTTCTACCCACCTACCACTGACGCCTGGGGTGCGCCAGACGGGGCATCAGGGCTAACCTCGCCCCCTGTGGCAAAACCTGAAAATGATGGGATGCCATCGAAAAGTGGAGGCAGAACCATTGCCAATCATGGCCTCGCGGAGGAGGATCCAATGGATTTCTAAGGGACTGACTCTGCGTTACCCTGAATGTACTGCCTTGTCTGCTGCCTGGGGGATGGGTGGGGAAGAATATGTGAGTGCACGAATGACTCTGTGTGTGTGTGTGTGTGTGTGTGTGTGTGTGTGTGTGTGTGTGTGTGTGTGTGTGTGTGTGTTCATGCCAGCATGTGTGTTTTTTTGTGTGTCCAACTCTTGGGCTAGATTGTTTGTTGGCAGTGGAACTGCTTTTCTATCACTTTATTCCACCGTGCCTGGCTCCCCCGCTTCCATAGAAATTTAGATGTCAAGGTCGTGATTGTCTTGACTCATTTGCTTGTTATTACTTACTGGAATCCACATGCCACACAAAGAAAGGCCAGACAGAAAAAGTGCAGATGTAGCAAGAGATAAAATACAATGTGGCTCTTTGAACTCTGAACCAAATGAGAGTGTCTGTTAAGCAATTTTTTTAACTGTTTATTTCTCGGAATTACGAGATACAACAGAGGAGAAGGCAACGAGATGGGGCAGATGAATCAGCATGTTCCATCCTGTTTTAACAGACAGGCAGGAAGGTTAGATGACAGCACGGCAAGCCCAAATGACTTCCTGTGGACAGCTCTGGTTTTCTCCGTTCATTCGGAATTTTCAACAGAAAGCAAAAGTGCTGTGCATACCCTCAAAATAATAATAAAAAACCGTTAACCCTCAGTGTTATTTCATGCTTTAAATGTTTCCCTGACGCCGAACATCTAGCCCAAGTGATTCTGAGTTGAATGTGGGAAAGGGTGTTGATGTTTTCTGTCACAAATAGTACTTGGACTTTGCTTGCAATAGTGCCTTCATCTACTGTATGTGTACGTGAGTTTCTGATTATGTCGGTTTTCTACTTTAATTTTGCCTGCGTGTGTATTTGAGGGTGTACTGCATGTACACTCAAAATCCACCTTTACATGGGTTATTATATTTGTGTTCGTATAAAGTGTGTTCTTCAGATTGTTTTACTCTGTATGTATAGATATATTTTCCCACTCTTCCCCAGCATGAAGCTCAGCGTGAATTCACTTGCAACAAATCAACTCATCAGTATATTGGAAAATAGTAGAGAGTAGTCGATATAAAAGCAAAAGAGAATGAGCTGAATCCTAACTGGTAACCACTATGGTTACTCTGAAGAAAGTCATGTTTTCTCCTGATTTTTTTTGCATGATAAGTTTACGATTTTATTTAAAATTCATTCAGAATGTTTTTTGACTTATGATCATCTGTTCTTTTTGCTTTCTTTTTTACCAAATGAAATGAAATCTAATCCTTCCTCTTCCTCCTTTCCTTTTCTTTCTTCAATTCCTCCTCCTTCTTCTTCTTCTTTGCATTTTATAAGGTTCCACAATTCCTTTCTTCTTCCAAACCAACTCTACCTTCCTCTCGCTGCCACCTCACCCTCGGCTTGATATCCATCGGGCCATGTCATCCACTTTAAGCCACAAGTGATAGAGCCAGGATTGGTTTTCAGTCAGGATTTGTAACAGCAATCTGTTCATGGCCTGTCGATCTATTAGCTCCTGTTTCGCTTAAGGGTGTCCGCTATCGCTTTTCTGATTTGTCACTGGAGCGTTTACTACACTCCCTGTGGTCCTGCTCCCACTTAGGCTCAAGCTGGTATGAGTGAACCTCACTATTTGGCCCTACTTTGTTTTTAAAGCATGTAGCTTGTGCTGAAGTCCCACTCTTCACATTGTACCTACATTGCTGGTGCACTCTGAAGAGCTTGTGAAAATCAGCTGGATCAGATAATGAGCCGGTGTGGTTTAACATGTAAGACAAGACATAATTAGTATGTACTGCAAAGCATGTTTAAGAGTAAAACACTTTTAAACAAGAGAATACAAAGTGCTTTACATTGAAGGGATTGTGCAATGTATCCATTCATGGCACTATAACTGATTTTGGCATCAACCAAAGCACCCCCCACCCTTATGGGTGGGGGTGCTTCTTCTATATAGCTGCTGCTGCTGTCTGCCCTGATTGTCCTACTTGTACCTTTTGCCCCTGTTGCTGCATCAGTCCCTTTCAGGGAAGCCTTATTTGTCTAATGCACTAAATCTAAGGATGCCACGCTATACCCCCACCCCACCTCTGCCCCCCTCACAACCATACACATTCCAAAAAACAAGAAAACAAAAATAAAACAAACCAAAAATGAAAAAATAAATTAAAATAATTATTATATCAACAGGCCCTTTGGTGATGTCCATTGAAGAGATTATACCAACTCCATATACACAGGGATTTATGTTCATATTGAATGATTCTGCGGGTAGCCAGCGCACGGAGCAGTATGCTGTGCAGGCAAGTGGAAGTTTAGGGAGTTGGAATTTAGTTGCGGTTGAGTGTGAAGCCTATGTAGTCTGCCAAGGTCATGACTTTAGTATCTTTTATGGAAATGTGACTGGGTTATTGACTTGAGGGGGGGGAATCATATTTTACGACCACAATATTACATTAAACCACACTGTAAGTTCCAGCCATGGATGTTAGAACAACTGATATTTTATAGCAGTTTTTTTACGGTTGGCACAGGAAAAAATAATAGAAAGTTTTGCAGAATTGTCCAATATAAACATTATTCTAGGTGATACAGTTGGAAAAGCATTTGCACATTAAGTCTCGCACACATCTAAACATATTTTCATTTTGTACTTTTGAGCCAAAATACCCACTCAGATCACTTCCTAACTCAGCCAAAAGAATCCAACAGCTTTGCATTCATAGCTCAGCCAAAACAAAAAAGTAAATTCAGGCGATGCCATTCCTCTCACACTGGACTGTACAGCCGACTTTCTATATTATCTGATCTGCGTGTGTGTATAAAAACTGTGCGAATGCATGTGCTGTATGTGTGTGCGATGTGTGTTTGTGGTCTACGCCTGCGCCTCAGTGTGATCGTCTGGTGAATGTGTAGCATGCTGTCATGCACGAGGCCCAGACTATACATGTTGTACTTGCATGCGGTGACTGATCGCAATGACCTGTAATGGAACACTAAACCAAACCAAATGCAGGCTTAATTCTTATACCTGGGAACGTTGGCCTCTCTGCTCTGGAAGGACTAATGTTTAACAATTTAATAGGTTAAATAAAACCACTATCCTACAGGATGATTTTGTGCATTTGTTGCACTTTGCTGCATTTTCTATTCTGATGGGAACCCAGAATTTTACTTTATAACTCAATACTATGTTAAATGAAAGAGCTAAAGGAATATTATATACAATATCTCCTTGCCCAGGTATGAGAACCAGGACTCCATTTGAAAAAGAAGGAGTACATGTAGCAAACACACTGATGTGGGTTGCTCTTCTCACATCGTTCCTCAAGCACTTACAATATGCCTACTTCCTCTTTGTCCATCTTCTCAACCACAACCTCTGCAAGCCAAAGTCCACAATGTTTGTTTACTTTTCACGTACAGAAGGCTGTAGTTTCTTCAGAGTGAAGACCTGAGAAAAAAACAGAGCTAAATTTTTTTCTTCTCTTCTAATAAGCTACTTTATCACAAGCAGACAGATTTTTCTTTTATTAAAGTGACTTTGGTCATTGGTATAAAGGATAATTTCTGAATTTTTGCTAGTATTTCGTTAATATTTAAAGTATTAGTGTAGAATCCGATGCATCTGTTCTGCAACGACACGATGCGGTGAAAAGTACAACACTATAGGAGGAGTGAACTAAAAGAAAGGTATTTTTCTACAGCTGTTTCCCATTCACGGATCCTCCTCGGGAAGGTGTACACAGCAGAGTTGGGTGGAGTTATCAGTCTTCACTGTCTGTGGTTTTGTTTAATCACAAGGAGGCCTGGGAGAAACTGCTAAAATATATTTTTAACAGCCATAGTCTCTCTAGAATGAAAAGGCTCATTTATAAACGTTAATCTTTTCCTTTGAAGGTTTTTCAAATGGTTGTTCAAGACGTCAATACGACTATAGGTGGTTTAGGAGTAAGAATATTAATAACTAATAAGAGAAAACACGCAGAAGCTATTTTAATACGATTCTATAAATGGTAAACTACACACAAAATCAAAGATTGCCTCTGTTGCTTTTAAAGTCAGTTACTGTTTGTTTATTTAGTCTTGGAGAAGGCGTGCCATGTTCTTCCTGTGCTCTGTGTTCACTGTGGCCAAGCGTCCAGTCAGTGTGTGTTGGACTTGTTGAGATTGGCTTCTCTTGCAACAGCAGATTTTATTCCTTTTCACTTCTGTATATTTTGGCACAAAGCTGTATAATGTAATTGTTTTTAATTTTTGTTTTTTAAAGGTTTCTTCCATATGTGTGGTTAATTTGCTCCTGGGTGCACTGTTTTTGCTGAGTTGTTGATATTGCTTCCATGCAACAATGAAAGTTAGTTATTGCAATTACAAAACAGTGGGTTGCTCGTTTATTCGCACATTTATTCACACATTAGGTGAATGCACATGCATACACAGATGTTTTCCGTGTCTTTTCCCTCTAAAACTAAAAATTTAAAATAGATATATTTTTATTTTTTATTACATACAAATTCTTATGTCTGTGCAAAAGTATGCAGTTAAAGTTTTTGGCTGCAATGCAGAAAGCAAGCTATTTTATGTTATATTCTATTTTTAACCGTTGTCAGAAATGAGATACAAATTTACTTCTATTGACCATTTTAAAAAGGCATACGGATTGATTTCTCAAAATATAAAACTGTTGTTTTAGCATTTTGTCATTAGTATAAGATGTCTCACTGTTGCCATGTCTACAGAGGAGGACAGCTGGACCCCTACAATGGGGGACCCAGACAATACTGTGTATATTTCATGTTTCCACAGTATGATCGACTTTATTTGTTTTGAAATACTAGTATTTGGTATGTAAAAATAGACTTGTCCTGTTTTTTTAGTGCCCTCACAGCTATATGATAAAAAAAATTCTCATAATTAGCAGAACAGAAAACATAAAACATGCTAATTGCACACTAGTCTGTGTATTCAAAGCACTGGAAGGAAACCCTTGCACATGTGTTTTCCTGCACTGACTGAAATGGCAGCTCAGGTGCATTTATAAATTTATGACCCCCTTGAACTCCTCTTTTGATCTGTTTTAATTTTAGTTAGCTCTCAGAATCAGAATCAGA